TTTTTTACTTAAACTGTATTTAAGATTAATAACATGTTTTTAAACTCCAACTTTAATAATACTTTTTAAGTTTATTGACTTTCTTAAATAATAATTCTAAAAATTGTGAAAGCGATAAAAAATAAAAACCTCTCTCAAAAATTTGATATCATCAATATTTATTTAACGCTAAAGTTAAAAAGTAAATATTCAAAAAAAGAGAATGTGGAATATAAATTAAATATAGAATTATAAAAAAAATTTTATCGAACGTGTATTAAAATCATAAGATCAATAATGAATAAATTTAAACCAAAAATTTATAATATAGAATTTTAAATTGAATAACCAAATAAACAAGGTATTTGAAATGATAACATAAATTCTTGCAAAACTCACCCTTAAACTTAGGATTAGGATTAATATAATTAAAAAAAGATATAAATTTTTAAAACTTTAGATGATCTGTATAAATTAAATATTGATAGGCATTAGTTATTAAATATTCACACAGCTATAGATAAAGATTATTTGAAAGGATAGATTGGTTTCACTAGGCATTTTATTATAAAGTGATTGAAATTATTTTTAATATAAGTAGTTACCATGTTTTCAAATATAAAAAAAAAGATTATTTCAATTAAGTATTTATTATGGTAAAGAGGTAATCCAGAAAATTGAGTAAAGTGGAATTTGTTTTAGAATATATAGATAATCAACAAATTATGAAAAAGAGAAAAGAGTTTAAGCATTAGAGGGATCATAAAGAAAGATTGCATATGAAATCTATGATGTAGACATTCCTATTAATGCATTAGGACATTACAATAAAAAACAATTATGATAACTAAGCTCACTTATAAGCAATCATAATCAAAATTTAAAGTCTCTAAACATAACTTCAGCTAATTAAGAGAATTATAAATCCAAAATTTATAAAACGAGTATCAAAATGGGATTAAAAACTAAATGATCCCTATCTCGATTAGAAATCTTATAGAAAACAAAGTTTAGTAAACAATGATTAGCATGATCACTCTCAATTATTCTAAATTAAAAAGACTAATCCTACACAATAGAACCCTTAACCTGATGATCCAAATTTTTTTATTATGAATTTTTTAATTCAATATGATTGTATAAGATATTATAATCGATTTACTAGTTCCTTATGATATATTAAATGATTTTAAATCTAAAAATTATAAAAAATAATAAGTTTACGTAATTATGTTATAATAGGCATTCAAAATCATAAAAATTCGATTTGTTAACATTATATTATTATAAACTCTTTATTTTATCATCCTCATTCATTTTTAGTTTTTTTGATGACTATCCATCTAAAAGAGCTTTCTGTTCTAGGACATAATTATTCTTTTTGCAAAGATTTATTTTTATAATTGAAACTCCAATAAAGTCATGTTAATTATCAAAATTTTATTTATTTGTCAAATTAAAAGGTTGCCACATCCCATCTTTAATTAATAGGCAAACATTTTTCTTCCTAAGTTATTATTGTGTATTATGGAGGGCACCTGAGTTTAGGGGACAAATCAAAATTGAAAAAATTTATTTTGAGATATACAATAATTTACCTCCAAAGATTATTAATTCTATTAATAAAATAACAATTGGAAAAATTTCACAACCAAAGATATCATTAATCATCAACTATCAAAGAATATAACAAGTATTTTTCAAAGTTAAATGAAAAGGTTTATATCTAGTTTAAAATTAAACATCCATTAATACATTGTATAAAATTCTATTTTAAATTAATTGTATCTGAATTTAATTATAATTACCTAATTTAGATATTAATAAGTCGAAACAATTTATATTCCAACTCCAATAGCATTTTGGTTGTCTTATTTCTTGTCATTATTATTTAAACTCTTTAAAACATCAACTCAATTACATTTAATTTTATATATCAAAATAATTGTTATTAAATCAACAAAACTGAGAAAAATAAATTTGAAATATTTACAATAACATGAACTAAATTTTTTACCAAATTTTACACAAGCACACAAAATACATATAAATTTTCTAAAAACATATTAATTCAAATGCAATTATATAGAAATTAAAGTCCCCTTTACCAATTTATAATTTTTCATATTAATTTTGTCATTTATTATATTTCATATAAGACAATACTCTATTATATTATTTGGATAGCCATTCACCGATTTTTTTTCCATTTTTATATTCACCAATAAACGATTCTCCCCCATCACAAATGTAATTATTCGATAATTCTATCCATTCTCCTAACTTAATTCCCTCACCTTTTTCATCATATAATCCACCACCACTGTAATACACTTTTAATAAACAGTTTTTACATGTATTCAAAATATTTAGTCCTATATTTCCTCTAAAAAATATCCCATTTACCACATTTTTTACCATTTTTATATTCACCATTATAAGTTACTTAGGAATATATGTGGAAATTATCCGATACTTCCACCCATTTTCCCTGCTTAAGCCCTTCGCCATCTTCATCATATGATCCACCGCCACTATAATAAACATTTAAATAACAGTATTTACATTTTTATTATTATTTTATCAGAATCTCTAAGACACTTATACCAAATATCCCATTAACCTACTTTGTTACCATTTTTATATTCACCTTTGTAAGTTACTTACTCATGCTCTTCGAAATTATCCCATAATTCCACCCAATTTCCCAACTTAAGTCCATCACCAGCTTCATCATATAATCCACCACCACTTGAATACATTTTTATATAATTTTATTACATTATTTTTAAGTTATTCTCATCAAACACATCACACCAAATATCCCATCTACCAACTTTTTTGCCATTTTTATATTCACCATTGTAAGTTGCTTAACAATTTCTGAAATTATCTGGTAATTGCACCCATTTTCCTAGCTTAATCTCTTCGCCATCCTCATCATATAATCCACCGCCACTATAATGCACTTAAAATAATATTTTTACATGTATTTTTCTTAGTAATCATACTTACTTAAACATAAGTTCCAAATTTCCCACAAACCAACTTTTTTATCATTTTTATATTCTCCATGATAAGTTACATATTTTTATTCATCAAACCCGTCATTCAAATCAATCCACTCCCCAATTTTTAGTCCATCGCCAGCTTCATCATATAATCCACCACCACTTGAATAAATATTTATATAAATTTTATTACATTATTTTTAAGCTTTTCTCATCAAGCATATTACACCAAATATCCCATCTACCAACTTTTTTGCCATTTTTATATTAGCCAATATAAATTATTTACTCGTCTGCTTCAAAATTCTTATTATCCGATATTTCCACCCAATTCCCTGACTAAAGTCCATCACCAACTTCATTATATGCTCCACCACCGCTATAAGACCGTTTATGAAGCATTTTTACATTTTTATAAAATGATTTCTTCTTTCATTCCTATACTCAATGTCCCATATACCTATTTTTTAACCATTCTTATATTCTCCAGTATACTTAACTTAAATATGATCCTAAAAGTTTTTCTATAACTCAACCCATTTTCCATGTTTTTAACCTTCATAATTGTATCTACCACCACCTCTATTTAGAAATAGAGAATATATATTATACATTTTTTTATTATCATAGATATATTTCCAATTATCTTTTCGTATTCCATTTTGATATTCTCCTACCTCATAAACTTTTGCTTAACTTAAAAAAAGAGAGAATATCTTACGACCAATAATTTTCAATTAATGTTATCCATTGTCCTTACTTATTTCCTGTATTTGAATAATATCCTCCTACATTTTTCATAGTTGCACCGTTCCAAGTTGCTGTCCATTTTCCCACCTTTTGATTTAATTTTCCATATTATCCCCACCATTTTAAATTTTATATTTAATCTAAATTTGTTAAAATTTCAGGCTTCCTTGAAATATCTTCGATTAAATCTCTATAAAGGTTAATATAATACTTACACTCTAAGGATAGATCCATCTCTAGAATATTAAATTTCTTAGTTATTTGTAAAAGTTATTTGTAGCGTTGTTGTTTTTTATTCAGATGGTTTCACAGAAATATCCCAATAAATTGCTCTCAGCATTTAGGTACCTTCTTCCCAAACAAATTACTTCTCTTGGTTTATCAAAAACATACTAAATAAATTAATTTAATTCTATTAATATTTTTTTATGGATTAATATATTAATTATTAATAGAATTATAACGATTGTACAATAAATGCCTTTCTAAAATTATCTGATACTATTCCCTATTTTATTAATTTGATGAGCAAGCAAATCTTAGAATAGAATCAGAAAATTTCGATCCAGAAATTACTTAAAATAAATTATAATTCCTTTTTTTTCAAATAATAAATCAAAAATTATTTAAGCCACACAATTAATTAAATAATTTTTTTTTATTTTTTCTTTAAATAGGAATTATTCATGCTATAAAAAGAAACATTTTTATTTAGAAAAATTTGAAAAGTAAGGAAATCTCTAAAATACTTATTGATTCAATTGCTGCAAATTTTTATCCTTATTTTTAGAAGTGATTTTATATACATGATATTGGCTTTAGAGCATTTAATCATTTGAAGATTTAATCATACCAAAAATAATGAAGTTTAATTTTTTAAACACCTAAGTAACTTTTTTAATTGAAAAAAAATAATATTATAGCTTATAAAAATTATAATATACAGGAAAAATTAAAAATAAATATATATTTAAATAAAATTAATTCGCCTGAAAATTTCAATTGTTTTATTTAAATAAAATAACAACTCTAATTATGATTATATTTGATATACTGAGAGGAATATCGCTCGATATTTAATTATATTTACAATTTTTAATCCTAAAATAGTTAAAAAAATACTTTGTAAAAGAACGTTATATAATTTTTTTAACTGTTTTGAACTTTTTTTTAGGGATAAAATTCAACATCTTGCAAAGAAATTTTATTCTATTGAAATATAAAGCTTTACTTTAAATTTGATTGAACGAATCTTATCTAAGTTTTTCAAATTCATTGTTGTGATATTTTATCTCTTCCTTAAATATTAAATTCAATTTATTTATGAAAAATAGTTTTATATATATATATATCAAGTAAGTTTTGATAAGGAATATGGATTAAGAGTAGAAACATAATAATTTTCCAGAAGTCTTAGTGAAAAACTTTGAGTAGATGATTCATGAAAGTCATTATGTGGTTCATTATAATTTATAATAAGCATCAGCTATTACAATGTGCAAATATGAGTTTTGAGTATTGCAGTTCTAATAATTTATCTATATTGCCTCCTTTTTTGAATACACTAATAAAAATATGTTAAATTTGATTTTGTTATCACTACATTTCAATTTGTACAACGAATTAATCTGGAAATAATATTGTGATAATGCTTTAGGGTTAATTACTCTCATAAATTTATTTTTCCTTTCTTAANGCTTAACTTAAAAAAAGAGAGAATATCTTACGACCAATAATTTTCAATTAATGTTATCCATTGTCCTTACTTATTTCCTGTATTTGAATAATATCCTCCTACATTTTTCATAGTTGCACCGTTCCAAGTTGCTGTCCATTTTCCCACCTTTTGATTTAATTTTCCATATTATCCCCACCATTTTAAATTTTATATTTAATCTAAATTTGTTAAAATTTCAGGCTTCCTTGAAATATCTTCGATTAAATCTCTATAAAGGTTAATATAATACTTACACTCTAAGGATAGATCCATCTCTAGAATATTAAATTTCTTAGTTATTTGTAAAAGTTATTTGTAGCGTTGTTGTTTTTTATTCAGATGGTTTCACAGAAATATCCCAATAAATTGCTCTCAGCATTTAGGTACCTTCTTCCCAAACAAATTACTTCTCTTGGTTTATCAAAAACATACTAAATAAATTAATTTAATTCTATTAATATTTTTTTATGGATTAATATATTAATTATTAATAGAATTATAACGATTGTACAATAAATGCCTTTCTAAAATTATCTGATACTATTCCCTATTTTATTAATTTGATGAGCAAGCAAATCTTAGAATAGAATCAGAAAATTTCGATCCAGAAATTACTTAAAATAAATTATAATTCCTTTTTTTTCAAATAATAAATCAAAAATTATTTAAGCCACACAATTAATTAAATAATTTTTTTTTATTTTTTCTTTAAATAGGAATTATTCATGCTATAAAAAGAAACATTTTTATTTAGAAAAATTTGAAAAGTAAGGAAATCTCTAAAATACTTATTGATTCAATTGCTGCAAATTTTTATCCTTATTTTTAGAAGTGATTTTATATACATGATATTGGCTTTAGAGCATTTAATCATTTGAAGATTTAATCATACCAAAAATAATGAAGTTTAATTTTTTAAACACCTAAGTAACTTTTTTAATTGAAAAAAAATAATATTATAGCTTATAAAAATTATAATATACAGGAAAAATTAAAAATAAATATATATTTAAATAAAATTAATTCGCCTGAAAATTTCAATTGTTTTATTTAAATAAAATAACAACTCTAATTATGATTATATTTGATATACTGAGAGGAATATCGCTCGATATTTAATTATATTTACAATTTTTAATCCTAAAATAGTTAAAAAAATACTTTGTAAAAGAACGTTATATAATTTTTTTAACTGTTTTGAACTTTTTTTTAGGGATAAAATTCAACATCTTGCAAAGAAATTTTATTCTATTGAAATATAAAGCTTTACTTTAAATTTGATTGAACGAATCTTATCTAAGTTTTTCAAATTCATTGTTGTGATATTTTATCTCTTCCTTAAATATTAAATTCAATTTATTTATGAAAAATAGTTTTATATATATATATATCAAGTAAGTTTTGATAAGGAATATGGATTAAGAGTAGAAACATAATAATTTTCCAGAAGTCTTAGTGAAAAACTTTGAGTAGATGATTCATGAAAGTCATTATGTGGTTCATTATAATTTATAATAAGCATCAGCTATTACAATGTGCAAATATGAGTTTTGAGTATTGCAGTTCTAATAATTTATCTATATTGCCTCCTTTTTTGAATACACTAATAAAAATATGTTAAATTTGATTTTGTTATCACTACATTTCAATTTGTACAACGAATTAATCTGGAAATAATATTGTGATAATGCTTTAGGGTTAATTACTCTCATAAATTTATTTTTCCTTTCTTAANCCCTGACTAAAGTCCATCACCAACTTCATTATATGCTCCACCACCGCTATAAGACCGTTTATGAAGCATTTTTACATTTTTATAAAATGATTTCTTCTTTCATTCCTATACTCAATGTCCCATATACCTATTTTTTAACCATTCTTATATTCTCCAGTATACTTAACTTAAATATGATCCTAAAAGTTTTTCTATAACTCAACCCATTTTCCATGTTTTTAACCTTCATAATTGTATCTACCACCACCTCTATTTAGAAATAGAGAATATATATTATACATTTTTTTATTATCATAGATATATTTCCAATTATCTTTTCGTATTCCATTTTGATATTCTCCTACCTCATAAACTTTTGCTTAACTTAAAAAAAGAGAGAATATCTTACGACCAATAATTTTCAATTAATGTTATCCATTGTCCTTACTTATTTCCTGTATTTGAATAATATCCTCCTACATTTTTCATAGTTGCACCGTTCCAAGTTGCTGTCCATTTTCCCACCTTTTGATTTAATTTTCCATATTATCCCCACCATTTTAAATTTTATATTTAATCTAAATTTGTTAAAATTTCAGGCTTCCTTGAAATATCTTCGATTAAATCTCTATAAAGGTTAATATAATACTTACACTCTAAGGATAGATCCATCTCTAGAATATTAAATTTCTTAGTTATTTGTAAAAGTTATTTGTAGCGTTGTTGTTTTTTATTCAGATGGTTTCACAGAAATATCCCAATAAATTGCTCTCAGCATTTAGGTACCTTCTTCCCAAACAAATTACTTCTCTTGGTTTATCAAAAACATACTAAATAAATTAATTTAATTCTATTAATATTTTTTTATGGATTAATATATTAATTATTAATAGAATTATAACGATTGTACAATAAATGCCTTTCTAAAATTATCTGATACTATTCCCTATTTTATTAATTTGATGAGCAAGCAAATCTTAGAATAGAATCAGAAAATTTCGATCCAGAAATTACTTAAAATAAATTATAATTCCTTTTTTTTCAAATAATAAATCAAAAATTATTTAAGCCACACAATTAATTAAATAATTTTTTTTTATTTTTTCTTTAAATAGGAATTATTCATGCTATAAAAAGAAACATTTTTATTTAGAAAAATTTGAAAAGTAAGGAAATCTCTAAAATACTTATTGATTCAATTGCTGCAAATTTTTATCCTTATTTTTAGAAGTGATTTTATATACATGATATTGGCTTTAGAGCATTTAATCATTTGAAGATTTAATCATACCAAAAATAATGAAGTTTAATTTTTTAAACACCTAAGTAACTTTTTTAATTGAAAAAAAATAATATTATAGCTTATAAAAATTATAATATACAGGAAAAATTAAAAATAAATATATATTTAAATAAAATTAATTCGCCTGAAAATTTCAATTGTTTTATTTAAATAAAATAACAACTCTAATTATGATTATATTTGATATACTGAGAGGAATATCGCTCGATATTTAATTATATTTACAATTTTTAATCCTAAAATAGTTAAAAAAATACTTTGTAAAAGAACGTTATATAATTTTTTTAACTGTTTTGAACTTTTTTTTAGGGATAAAATTCAACATCTTGCAAAGAAATTTTATTCTATTGAAATATAAAGCTTTACTTTAAATTTGATTGAACGAATCTTATCTAAGTTTTTCAAATTCATTGTTGTGATATTTTATCTCTTCCTTAAATATTAAATTCAATTTATTTATGAAAAATAGTTTTATATATATATATATCAAGTAAGTTTTGATAAGGAATATGGATTAAGAGTAGAAACATAATAATTTTCCAGAAGTCTTAGTGAAAAACTTTGAGTAGATGATTCATGAAAGTCATTATGTGGTTCATTATAATTTATAATAAGCATCAGCTATTACAATGTGCAAATATGAGTTTTGAGTATTGCAGTTCTAATAATTTATCTATATTGCCTCCTTTTTTGAATACACTAATAAAAATATGTTAAATTTGATTTTGTTATCACTACATTTCAATTTGTACAACGAATTAATCTGGAAATAATATTGTGATAATGCTTTAGGGTTAATTACTCTCATAAATTTATTTTTCCTTTCTTAATTAAATGCGACATAAATAGTTATATTGTCAACCTTCTCGCTATAGCCAAAATAATAGTCAAATTCCCAAAGCCAAATTATTAATGTTTTTAAAAGGTATTTTTGCATTAGTGTTTAAAAGGTAATGAGTATCAACCGATGTTAATTGGAGTACCCTTTTCTAGTATCTTAAATTCCTTTTTTTTTTACATAAAGATTAAAAAATAATTGGAGATTTTTAGAATTTTAATATTTTTATATATTAATCCAAAGTCATTTCGGAGTGCTGTTGTTGTTTTAGATTAATTTTAGTTTGTATCTTTACTTTAATAATCGCAGAGAGTTTATTGGCATGCATTTTATCTAATCTATGGTGCAAGAATTACAAATAGAAAATTGAAATTCGAACAATATTATTTTTATGTAACTCTAATAAATTGAGCAATATATAGTAGGTTTTGATCTAATTAGTTTAAGCAGAAGATTTGTTGACAATTATAAAATTCCCATCATCTTCAAAAAAAATATATAAATTTTAATAGTTCTAAATTAATTTTCATGATAAACGTTTAAATCTAAAGTCATTGAGATATAACTTTTTAATTTAAAGTTGAAGAGATTTTAATTGTATGAATTATTTTGATTAATTCTTAACTATTTGTCTTTCATAAGATTAAATAACCTAATCATAATCCAATTGTCGAAATCTTGTTATTACCTATTTTGCTTGCAATTAATTCTCCATTATTATTAAGTTAACTAATTCTATAAGCTAAGTCCTTGTCTTTATCCTAAATTCAAATTTATAAAATTGAAACTTTTTAATATAAATATTAAATAACTTGCATTACGAATGAATATCAATTCCAAGATTACATTGGCCATTCAATATAGCGAGACAGCGTCATACGAAGAAATTACAGTGACTATTAAGATGATAATATTTATGACTAAGACTTGATTGTATTTCTATAATAAATGATTGATAGAGATATCAATATTTGATGTTAAAACTAAAGAGCAAATGAAAAAAGTTGGATAGGAAAAGTAGGATTTTATCATCTCTATATTTAACTACTCTACTTAAAAACCTTTTGATTATTTTTATGAATTGAATAAATTCTAATTTCACTTCCATTTTAATTATATAAACTTTTTCTAAGCATGCAAATCTATTTTTTAGTAATATGCTTGGGTAATAATTTTTCGTAAATTCATTTAATACTCTTGAGCATAATAAATACGATTGACGAATCTAAGAAGATACTTTCTTCAAAAAATCATTTTTTAAATTAAGTGAATTATTAAAAAAACGAAAAATCATTCTTAAATTTGCAAATTTATCTACCTCTATAATTGTGATTAAAATAATTAATTTTGGTTATAATTAAAGGCTTAAGATAAAATACAGAATGTTGTTAATTATTTAATCTATTAAATACTTATACAAAGCAAAGCAAGACAAGACTATTATGTGAAAATTACAGCTACAACTATGATTCTATTTATCATAATACTGCAATGCCTAACTATTCATATAGTTTAAGGAGTGTTGTACACATAAATTATGGAATTTATATGCCTTAAATAAGATAACTCAATAACTTTTTACATAAGATTAACAAACATAGATATTAAAGGAAAAATTAATCCAAATAATTTTTGGATTATTATACCACTAATCAAAAGCAGAAGATAAAAATGAGAAATTCAAAAGCTTTAGATATAATACTTTTTTTCCTCCTATCATTCATGTATGAATTTATTAATAAATTCTTAAAAATATAATTCTAGCTTTTATGTTAATTGATTGGATTGAATTTATTGTCTATCTTATTATATTTTATTATACTTTAAAGATTTACATTTTATTTGCAATAAAACAAAAGGGGCAAAGATTACTTTTTTGAAAAATATAGATATCTAGACTTAGACCATAAAATTGATATTAACAAAATTCAAGTTAATCTTCAAAATGTATTTAGTAAC